GACCTTTTTCTCCTAATAGTTCATAAATACTTTAAAAAGACATAAAAATTGCAGCTTTACTGAGATATAATTCACATACCCTTTTAAAGTATATAATTTAGCAGTTTGTAGTATATTCAGAGTATATCTACCTAATTCCAAGTCATTTTCATCACCTTAAAAGGAAACGCTATACCCATTATCAGTCATGTGCCCATTTCCCTCAATACCTCTAAACCCCTGCCTTTATGGATTTGTCTATTCCAGACACGTCATATCTGTGGAACCTACAATGCATGTATTTTAAAATATATATCACATCATTGCTTATTTCATGTCATTAACAAGTGTGTGTGATGATTTTAATGATGATAAGATCAAATCTGAAAGTCTAGTGGTTTTTGTGTTCTTCCTCCTGAATGCACTGGGGAAATGCATGTACTCAGGTAAGGAGTACAGGTGAGGAAGGGGCTGTCTCTATTAGAATCAAGAGTTGGAAATATCTCAGTGTAAACAGGAATGCGTCCCTAATTCTACACATAAGAAAATGAAAGAGTGCAAGGTCCCTGAAGACCAGCACACAAGTTAAAAGACCCAAAAAGATTTGAAAACAGCTTTGAAAAACAAAACCTAATTTTTTTTGTTAAATTCGTCAACCACTAATGATATTATGTATTGGGTTTGGCCAAAAAGTTTGCTCAAGTTTTTCTGCAACACTGTATGGAAAAGCCCGAATGAATTTTTTGGACAACCAAATAAAAGCCAATAAGAGTCAAATTACCACACAAAAGTATTTGCTTAAGTTACTTGATACCTTGATACTTTTTTTAATAGTTACAGAAAAAGAAATGAGGTTTTAGTTGATTTGCCTAATAACTTGAAAACACATTCTTCAACCTTATGAGGTAGAAACAGATTAAAATCTAGGGTGTGTGTGTGTGTATATATACACACATATATACGTATATACATATATACCCATATACATACACACACACACACACACACACACACACTTAGTATTTTATTCTGTTATCAATATACATGATCCCTTTTCCAAGCATGATGCTCTCATATGCAAGTTGGGGTCCCCTGGGTGCCTTTGTATAGGACGATCCATGCAGCAAGCTTAGCTTCTGCAGAGTTCAGTGATTTTAACTAGCCTGGAGCAAGTCCACTCTCTTTGTGATACTGAACAATCTCAGCTTTCCAGCTGTGAGGAGGAAAATGCTTTGCATTATTAAATTGTAGCCATATGCTGCAAAAGCCGACCTTGTAAATACAGAGAGGGAAAAGAATTTAAATTGAGAGGAAACTTCAGATGCAGGCGGTCATTGTATAATAAAAGGAACCTGAGATACCTGAGTGAAAGGTCCATCACCAAACTGCTAGAGGCAGAAGACTGAGCCACAACCTAGCCTAGGTGAGTCTTGAGGGAGACCGCTGCTTTTCACATGGGGACTCCAGCCCTCCCTGTGGGGAACCTAGACACGCAGCAAAGAAAGTGAAACATGCTTTCCAAAATTTGACAAACTACAACTTATTTAGGTTCAAGGCCTCTTCAGTTTTCTGGAAATAGATGCAGTATAAAGTAAGTGCATGCACGCAAGCTAAGTTTCTTAAGTCATGTCCAACTCTTTGCAACCCTATGGACTGTAACCCACCAGGCTCCTCTGTCTGTGAGATTCTCCAGGCAAGAATACTGCAGTTGGTTGCCATGTCCTCCTCCAACAGATCTTCCCAACCCAAGGACTGAACCTGCATCTCTTATGGTCTCCTGCACTGGCAGCCAGGTTCTTTACCACGAATGCCACCCAGGGAAGTACATAAATTAAGTGCCTATATCAATATATTTTCATTTGGACTCTATGTTACCTTATGATGATATTGTTTCATATACCACAAGATCATTCTATGCAATTATAAAGTGAGGTGCTGGGGAAAAAAACCAAAAGCTTGAGTAATTAACTATAGCCCAAGAACTAGTTCTTTCTGTCACAGCTTTGTGAAAGGAAAAGTAGTTTTTAGGTTTAAATTACAGTTGTGACTGTGTACCAAGTGGGTCTCCGACATATACAAACAAATGTAAAGCATATGATCTTCAAAAGAGGGAAGGGAAAACACATCAGAGGCACTGAGGTCCAGCAGCTATACTACCTGGCCATGAAGCCTCCTCCTTCACCAATGCCCTGATCCCACACCCCAGAAACTCAGCTGACATCTCTCCCCAAGCTCATTCCCACCAAGGCAAGGATTACTCGAGTCCCCTCCATCATTTCCTCACCACCTGCCCACTGCCCTTTGTCTTGGCAACTATAGCTGTTGAAACACTGGCACCAGGGACCCAAGTGTGGTTCTCTCTGTGAATGCCAGGGGACCCAGACTGTCCTGCCAAGTCATCTCAACACAAAGCTTTTTCCTTTCTTTCTCTTCATGGCATACTCACCAATACTTAGACCAAGCCTAGTCAAGGCCAAACTTTTCTCATCATTCACAAAGCAATGTACCACAATATACTGTATTATCTATCGGGGGTAAGGAAAGAGAGGCAAGGACAAAGGTGCCAATAATGCAGTGGAACTACTACTGATTTAAGGTTTTGACCCATGAAAAAAATGAGTTAATTTAATTTACCAATAACTAATTGGGATCTTGGGCAAATCACTTAACCTCTCCACACTGTTTTCATACATAAAGTAGAGAATTGGACTAGCCATGGAGAAGCACCAACAACCTGCTTTTTGGAGTCATGTTTCCAAGCATGTGTCAAACAAATAAATATACTGAATTATAGTAGTAAATTACCCATTTAAAAATGTTAGCAGCTTCAGGGGGGTATAAAGAAATATAGATAAAACATAAAGCAACTATCATAATACAGGTAGAGAAGCCCCACTCTGCCTGGGACAATCTAACAAGACATACGGAATGGACATAAAGGATGAACAAGAATTTGTAGGGTGGATATGGCAGTCCTGGAAGAGAAAGGGCAAATCACGTGGAGGAAATGGAAGGGAAAGGAATCTGGTATACTTGCATTTACAGCATTTAAAGTCATGACCTAGAATATGAGCATATAAGGAGCAAATGGATACGTAGAGGATGAGAAAGGATCCTGAGACAGAACTTATGGACAGTTCTAGACAAGGGTGTCGGGAGATTCCAGTAGCCCTGGGGAGATAAAGTCTGGCAGAAAAGAAAAGGAATTGAACTTTGGAGTTGTTACCCAGGGGACACAGGGTCCAAAAAGTCCAAAATGTCCAACAAGAAGTTGGGCACTTAAAACATTAGGAGAGAGACCTGTTTCAAAGGCATGTATCTAAGAATAATGAAAGGTGAAGGAACACAAAAGTCACAGTGGGGATTGAAAACATAGAGAACTAAAGACAGAAATCTGTTAATCAGTAACTAAAAGAAAACATTATGGTTCCTGGATTACCAGGAAAAGGCCCTGTTTTCAAGAGCACAGGCAACAAAAGCAAAAATAAACAAATGAGACTGTATCAAACTAAAAGACTTCTGCACAGTGAAGGAAACAATAGCGAAAAGGCAGCCTATAGAACGAGAGAAAACAATTACAAACCATAGATCTGACAAAGGGTTAATCTCCAAAATATATAAAGAACTCCTACAGCATAAGAGCAAAGCAAAACAAAGACGAGGGCTTCCCTGGTGCCTCAGACAGTAACGAATCTGTCTGCAATGAAGGAGACCTGGGCTCAATCCCTGGGTAGGGGAGATCTCCAGAAGGGAATGGCTATCCACTCCAGTATTCTTACCTGAAGAATCCCATGAACAGGCATGGCAGGTATAAGTCCACAGGGTCGCGAAAGAGTCAGATACAACTGAGCAACTAACTCATACCCAGCATAATAGCAAAACAAACAAACAAAAAAGACAACTAATAACCTGATTTAAAATGGGTTAAGGACTTGAATAGCCTTTTATTCAAAGAAGATATACAAATGCCCAACAGGCATATGAAGAAAGGCTCAATATCACTAACTGTTGTGAATTCCAAATCAAAATCAAAATAAGATCTCACTTCACATTTGTCAGGATGGTGGCTCAGATGGTAAAGAATCTGTCTGCAGTGCAGGAGACCTGGATTCAATCCTGGGTTGGGAAGATCCCCTGGAGGAAGGCATAACAACCCACTCCATTATTCTTGCCTGGAGAATCCCATGGACAGAGGAGCCTGGCGGGCTACAGTCTATGTGGTTGCAAAGAGTCAGGCACGACTGAGTGACTAAGCACTCACATTATCAAAAAATAAAAATGAGAGTAAGTGCTGTGGAGAATGTGGAGAAACTGGAATCCTTGCACACTGTGAATGTAAGTGTGAATGCAAAATGGCACAGCCATTATGAAACACAATATGAGTATTTCTCAAAAAATTCAAAGCAGAATTACCATATAATCTAGCAATCCCAGGTCTAGGTATGTATTGAAAAGAACTGAAATCAGGATCTCAAAGAGATACATGCACTCCCATTTTTATAATAGCCAAGATGTGGAAACAACTTAGATGTCCATCAATGGATGAATGGACAAAAATATATGGTACATGCATGGTTAGGCGCTCAGTCATGTCCGATTCTTGAGACCCTGTAGACTGTAGACCTCCAGGCTCCTCTGTCCATGGGATTCTCCAGACAAGAATACTGGAGTGGGTTGCTATTTCCCTCTCCAAAGGATCTACCCGATCCAGGAATCAAACCTGGGTCTCCTGCATTGCAGGCACATGCTTTACCAACTTAGTTACAAGGGAAGTCCATATGTTATATACATACAGTGAATACTGTTTATTCTTTTTTTAAAAAAAAAAAAAAGAATCTTTTGCAGTATGCAACAATATGAATGAACCTTGAAGACGTGATGCTAAGTCAAATAAACTAGTCATAGAAAAACACCTACATGAGGAATCTACAATAGTCAGTGTCATAGAACCAGAGTGGAATGGTGGTTGCTAGGGACTGGGGCAAAGAGGAAATAGGGAGTTACTAATCAACAGGCAAAACGTTTCAGTTAAGATGAATACGCTCTAGAAATGTGTTTTACAGTACTGTTTCTAGAATCACTTAAAAATTTTTAAGAGGGAAGACCACATGTTAAGTGTTCTTGGTGAACTAAATTTTTTTTAAAAATTACACCAAGGAAAAGTTTTTCAGTAGCACATCATCAATTAAATCAAATGTTCAATAATACGGAAACAGGAATAGAATGGAAAGGAACCACACTGGATTCAGGTCATAAAAAGTGAATTTAATGAGAATCATTTCAAGTAGGGACAGAAGTCCAATTGTAGGAGAAAGTAAGTAGAAATTTTAATCTTTTATATTATGTCATGAAAAAGAAGAGCAAGATGGGTCACTTGATTGAAAGGGGTTGTCTGAATGAGGGCCAAAAGATCTAATTTTTTTTATGTAAGAAATAAGTTACCAGAAAGGAGTTAACAGAATAAGGGAGTTATACTGACAGGACCAGGAAGAATAAGGGATAGAGAAAATTTTCAATGGAGAGAGCTGGTACCTTGTATGTAGAGGCAAGTAGGAAAATACTTATACAACAAATGAATATAAGAGACTAAGATACAAAGTGTTGCCAGTGGGAGAGTAATCTCAAAAGATACATTTGTACCCTTTCTCATGTCACTATGAAAAACTATGTAACAAAATTTCATTCCACATTTCCTGTCACGCCAAAAGGCTTAAGGAAAAAACTGACTACCATAAAACCATACTTCTATTCCGCCTTGAGACTTGAATATATGTTTCTTTTCTCTTTGATATAATCTCTAATATTCTATTCTTATGCATCTTATCTTGATCTGTAACTTTATGTCATCTGAAGTCTTTAGGGGAGTACAGTGTAACAACTTAACACATTTTTATTGGGATTCACATCAAATGACACTTCCCGCAGAAAGTCTTCTTGATAAACCCAGCTGCAGAGAAAGTAGGATGAAAAAGTCCTCCCTTTTACCTTTCACCAAGCACCTGCTACTTGCCAGATAAGCTCTTCCATTTAATGCTGACAACTGGCACCAGTGTGGTTGACTGTGCTGAGTTACAAAGAAGGGGGCTGATCTGGTCATGCTCCTCATGGCCCTTGTGACCACTGTAAAACTTGGAGCCTTGATCCAGGGGAAATCTGTAATTCCATTAATTGTTATTTCTACTCTGAAAGTGAAAAGTGATAGTCACTTTTAACTGCAGACACACTTCAGAAAAGTGTCTGACTCTCTGACTGCATGGACTGTACCTGCCAGGCTCCTCTGTGACCCCATAGACTATAGCCTGCCAGGCTCCTCTGACCATGGAATTTGCCAGACAAGAATACATGAGGTAGCCATTCCCTTCTCCAGGGGATCTTTCCAACCCGGGGATCTGGCCCGGGTCTCCTGTATTGCAGGTGGATTCTTTAACATCTGAGCCATCAGGTAATACACTCCTTACAATGGCTGGCAATAGTAACTCATAACTTCAAACTCCGTAACACATGAGTTGTAGCACTAAGTGATACTAGATTTTCACAATATGTGTAAAATATTGTATGTACTTATGGACAGAAACTTTTGAGAGAGAAAGGTTCATATGTAAATCACTTCTGAATCTCCCACAGCATCTAGTCTAGTGCCATGTACAAAACAGATGTCTGTTAAAGATCTGAGGCTAAAAGTCTACCTATAGACAGCTCTTTCAAGACTGTTTATTGTTCTCGGTGTGGAATGGTGCAGGAAAAATGGCTGTCTCTACTCATACAGAGCTTAATCCATTCACACCCTGTCTCCTGGAATGTAATAATCAAATCTTAAATCAGCAATCAGGTAGCACTCAAGTAGTTAGTATCTGTAGCCTAACAGGGCAGACAATTGGGACAACATATATAAATCTGCTTTCATGGCCTCATAAAATATTTCTAAATTGTCTTTTTCCTCCAAAATTAATATTACAAGTAATCATACCGACCCTATTGCAGAGGCTAGGCGTGGAGCCAACTGCTATGTGGATCAACTTTTGAGGAGTGGGTTGTACAAGAGTACCCATAATGCTTGGGCTTCCCAGGTGGCGCCAGAGGTAAAGAACCCGCCTGCCAAAGTAGGAGACATAAGAAACATGGGTTCAATGCCTGGGTGTGGAAGATCCCCTGGAGGAGGGCATGGCAACCCACCCCAGTATTCTTGCCTGGAGAATCCCATGGACAGAAGAGCCTGGTGGGCTACAGTCCATAGGGTTGCACAGAGTCAGACACAACTGAAGTGACTGAGCATGCATGCGCACACCCCGTACTGCAAACTGTCAAAATCGGGAGCTAAGAACTATATGCCCTTCCAGACCTTTTAAAATTAGTCTGTTAACAAAACACATTTCCCATCCGCCCCTCCTCTGCTCTTGAGTTCCATCCTAAGTTTGAACATTTAAGAAACTTACTGAATGTGATGCCTTCAAAAAGTTAAAGGATAAAGAAGAAAACCTCCTCTGAAACAAAACCTGTTAGGAAAAAATCCTTTGATTTTCACACTGACTCCCACAGATCTCATTCTCAAATTACTTAAAAGCTTTACCTATAATGTGAGGTCTTACTACAGTTAACACAACCCTTTCACTGTCTTTCTACTTAGGCTTTTATGAATAGAAAGCCTGTTTATAGTCTGTTGCATATTGTCAAGAGCTGAAGTTTGGAATTACTTCTATGTATCATGAAATAGTGCATTTCCCACCCCCATTAAAACAACAACAACAACAACAACAACTTGATTCTGGTGGATACGATCAATGAGGATATAAGAATGAATGGGTATGAACTTGTACACTGAGGAGTGAATGGACTATTATTAAAAAATCAGAGTAAATATTTCCCTTTCTCTGATCTTAGACATGAATGATATTCTAAAATAAAACATGCTCTGAGGTTATTTAGGACCTATGGTAATATTTCTGCCATCATATGCAAACAGCAAAGAAAAATGCTGCATTATTTCTGTAACTATTAAGAGAGTATTGTTTGTTCCAAATGCTAAATTTCGACAAAAACAAAGTGAGAAGTCAAATATAGGCCCTAGGGATCCCTGAAGATTATAACTACAACTGCAGATGCTAGTTTTCTTGACAATTATTTGGTTGGTTTCATTAGTTTCATGACAACCCTTTGGCAACTTCAATCTCAGTATTAATAAAGTCGAGTAGGGGAGAGATGAACCTCAAAAAATGTTTGATTTTAAAAATTTCTTAAATAAAAAACTAGTATATTATTATATTCAATAGATACTACTGTGGACCAAAGGAAAAACCAAAGAAAAAAATACCTTGAGACATATGAAAATGGAAATGAAACACACCAAACTTTATGGGCTACAACAAAAGCAATTCTAAGAGGAAAGTTACTGTGACAAATGTCTAACTCAAGAAATAAGGAAAATCTAAAATAAACAACCTAAATACACATGTCAAGGAACTAGAAAAAACAACAAATGAAGCCCAAAGTTAGTAGAAGGAAGAAAAAAACAAAGACTAGAACAGGAATAAATGAAAAAAAAGTAAAATAACAATAGAAAATACCAAGGAAATTAAGAGCTGGTTCTTTAAAAGATCAACAAAATTGACAAACCTTTATCTAGACTCACCAACAAAAAAAAAGATACATGCCTTAACTAAATAAAGTCAGAAATGAAAGAAGAGATATTACAACTGATTCTACACAAATACAAAGTATCATAGGAGATTACAATGAACAATTATACTCTATGGAATGAACAACTTAGAAGAAATGGATAAATTCCTAGAAACATACAACCTACCAAAAGCAAATCATGATGAAATAGAAATTCTGAACAGACCAGCTATTAGTAAGGATATTTAATCAGTAATCCAAAACCTCTAAAAAAATAAAAGTTCTCGACTTCAGTGAAATTTTTTTGGATGTGTATTTTATTGTTTAGAAATCTCCAACAGGGCAATCATTAAGTACCTTTGTCAGGAGATGTCTACAAGAATCTAGATTGGAAAATGAGGACAGGCAGGACTGTCAGCTCTTCCTGCAAATCCACACAACACTGAAACAAACAGCAAGCCTTGAGGTATAAGGTGATGAGGTGCAAGACACAAGATCTACCTAGCATCCTCCATGTGCGTGCAGACCTAGACGAACAGTAGAAAACTTTACAGATATAGATTTCAAGCGCAACCCCAAATCACAAATGACTTTCTTTGGCAGTGCCCAACCAAGACACCAGAATACAATCTGCAGAAAACCAGATCTATCATGATCAGCTATTCCCAACTGAATACAGTTAACCTATCAAGAATTCAAAAAAGAATCAATACAATCCTTCTCTAACTCTTCCCAAAAATCAAAAGTATGTACAAACTCATGAGGTTAGTAATACCATGGTACCAAAATTACAAGAAGATGTCATTACAACAATAAAAAATTATACACCAATATCCCTAATGTACATAGATTAAAAAAATCCTCAACAAAATATTAGCAAAATAAACTCAACACCACATTAAAATTATACACCATCATCAAGTAGGATTAATTCAAGTGATATAAGCATCATTCAATAACCACAAATCAGTCAATGTGATATACCACATCACAAAAGGAAGGATAAAAATTATTAGGTCATCTCTATAGATGCAAAAATAGTATCTGACAAAATTCAACATCCATCCTTCATAAAAATTTTCAACAAAGTGCATACAGAGAAAATGTACCTCAACATAATAAAGGCCATATATGATAATCCTGCAGCGAATATCACACTCATTGGATATTGGAAAAGCTGAAATTTTTCCTCTAATATTATGAATAAGACAAGGAACCCCACTGGCTCAAGTTTTATTCATCATAATATGGGAAGTCCTAGCCAGGGCAATTAGTACAAGAAGAAGAAATAAATAAAAGGCATCTAAATTAGAAAGGAAGAAGCAAAACTGGTACTATTTTACAGATAGCATAATATTTTATATTGAAAACCTGAAAACTCAATCAGAAAACTGTTAGAACTAATAAATGGATTCAGTAAAGTTATGGGACATAGAACTAATACTCAAAAAATTGTTGCATTTCTATATATATTAATAATGACCAGAAAAACAAATTAAGAAATAAGAAAACAATCACATTTATAATTACATAAAAAAGAACAAAATATCTAGGAATAGATTTAACAGAAGAATTGAAAGAACTCTGTATTGAAAACTATAAAACATTAATGAAAGAAACTGAAGAAGACACACATTAATGGCAAGATGCTCTGTGCTCAGGGATTATAATAATTAATGTAATTAAAATGTCCATACCACC